TATTGCTTCTCGCAAGCGGCGCATAACTTCAAGATAATAATTCTTATTGCCGTACGACTATATGGTAAGAACTCTTGATGCAATAATCCACGATAATCGTAGCACAAAATTGACATTTGATCAAACTTGGCGTGCTTTTTTGGTGATGGCTCTCCTGGGCTCTTTCATTGGGATGATTGGAATTTGGTTTTGATGTCAGAATCATATACCCATGATTCGTCATCACTTATGATGCTTTTAAGAAACCTCTGGTTCGCCATTGACGTCATTCAACAATTCTTGAGCGATGGTCATGCGACCGTTTTTTGGTCGGAATTCTGTAATTTTGAAACGAACTTCCCTACCACACGGTTCATGCCCAAAATTCGTGAAAAATTCGCATGGCATGAGCCAACCGATATGCCGACATCCTCAGCAACTTCTCTCATAGTAATTTGACGATTCTTCATAACCATTTTTTTCATTTTCTCAACATTTTCATCGTTTGTTAAAGTGCTGACAAACTGAACATAATAAATTTAAACTGTGAACATATGTTCGAAACGGTTGTACCAACATAAAAAAATAAAAATTTGAACATTAACTACATTTTCTTAATAGTCCACGTAGAAGTCGCACTTTTGGGACATTGCACTTGATATAGTATAACGAAAATAACTTTTGTATGGTTTCTACTTTTTATTTGCGGAATGTATCAGTTTTTTTGAAAATGGTTCAACAAAACCGAAACCGGTCGTAACAAATAAAAAAACTTTGTAAAAACTTGTAGCGTTTATAAAAACCTACTGTATTCAGTTAATTTTTATTTCACCGAAGGTAATCCTAATTGATTTTGAAGAAAATTTCCTGAGGAGTAGGCAATCCAATTTACACCTTTTGCCTCGCTAAGATTTTCACTTCTCAAAACACATATGATAATTCGTTTCTGGTACAGATTGATAAATTTTTCTTTCCAATTTTTGTTAAACTGAAAGTCAGGAATGAGGTGTTGCCAAAATTATTTGGGTGAATTCCTCAGAATAGACTTGCGCGGTAGGTGATCCTTGATCATGAGAAAGGCAAGGAGATGTGCCAATTTTGAAAAAAGATTGATGAACGAGAATTTCGAGAAAGGATTGGTTATTTTTAACAACATTCCTAATAATAATTTTTTTATGACATAAATCTTATAAGTAATACTTTTCCTGATGTTTTTACCTGGACTATCCTTATGTAAATGAAAGCGTACTTTTACCTACGATCAGTATTGAGTTATTACAATTTGTTTTACACACGATCAAATGGCAAATTCGGAGCACATTCAGATTTTGATTTCTACCCTTATTCAATTCACCAGCCATTATTTTTTGAATGTCAAGTATCTTCGGAATATCAGATTTTTAAGTTTCATTTCATTGCCGTGACTTAAAGAACTAAATTTAATTAGATTTGGTTTCACAGTCGACCAGATCATGTATCATTCATTTAAGTGACTGTGTGGCGTTCAACAATTGCTGAAATTTCACGATACATAAAAGTTTTTTTTGAACGAAATCCATAGTGCATACCTACCGACAAAGAGCTGCCGTACGCATTGTGCCTATCTTCCGAGCAAAGCTATTATAATTTTTGTATTATATGAAAGATTATATGAAAAACTAGTACTATGTTGCTGTATCGCTGACATAAGTTGCTAGAAGTATTTTCTCGCCATTAGTTACGCGGGAGGATTTTGCGCACAGCATAGAGAACGCATTTTTTACGCAAATTTCAGGTAATAAACACGATTTTATTATTATTTATTATTAGAACAAAAGTAATATAAATCAAATAAATTCAAACGACTTAGTTAGTCTTTCTGTTGTCCATTTCCAACACAAATACTACAGGTATAGGTGGTGTGTTCTGGGCAAATAGTCCGTTAGCAAGCATCACAAGATTTCTTGGTACGTCTATTCTTACGTCGAGGGCATATTTGACAAAATCTTTCTTCATTTGGCTGCCTTGCTCGTTGCTGCAAAAGTGTTAATCCAGTTACTTTGTGTATACAGGCACGTAGGGGTATATTAGCACGATTTACGACATGAGGCCTTATAAGTTGCAAAGCTCTTTTAGAAAAATGCGTATTTGAAAAATAACGGCACTGTTCTCATTATTCCATTGTTAGCTTCGTATATAATATAGGAATATACCGCTCCTATATTGAGCATAGAGTATAAATTAGTCAAAGGCCATCTGCGATTCACACGCGAGATTGAATGTAAACTTTTCATCTCATCAACCACATCGACAGCACCTCTTGTCAAATCATGAAAGGGGTCATTTCTGGTTTATATTTTTCCTTGTATTTAGATCAATAGCATCATCATCATGCACTGTCGACAGCAACGAAACAGTTTTGTTTTTTTTTGGAATATAAGAAACAAGTACGCACTTCTCTAAAAAGGCAAACGTGCTACTACATGCACGGAAGAAAAAATTTCTTCAATTGTAAACATTTTTGTTACAAATTATATCACATATAGGGACGACTCCAATTTGTAATATTATGTACTACAATATTGGGTACATACTTTTTCACTAAATGATTCTACCATTCCATATATTTTGTTTTGAAAACTTTCATAACCTTGTGTTACTAGTTACTCTCAATAGTAACAGTTTTTCATTAAAAATTGTAGCGATTTTTCAAATAATACTGTAGTAGATTTTGCTTCATTTTTTCACGGAATTACATAAAAATTTGTCAGAATATTCAAAGCATTATTGTGTTGAAAACTCCTAAAAAATATAACCCCTTCAATTCAAATAAGATTCCTCTTGGCTGGGATTAAATCAAATAGGTGAATGAATGTCATTACGATGTCATCGATGACATAAGCAGATCAAGCTTATTCCGTGACATTAAAAAATCGTAATTCATGAAAGAAGTGTGTGTATTTTCTATAATGTTATCCAATTTGGTACTGAAGAGCCTTAGGGCAAGTGTTTTAAGGCGAAACATCGGTGTATACCAGTGAGAATGGCTGTATTCTATGTAAGTGCAATTTGTTACCATCCATTTAAAGTAGAACTCATGTGAATGATATCTGATTTTTATTCGACAACGAATGTTTGAAATACAAACTGAGTAGAGAAAAGTATCTTCTGTATAATTCAGTGTTCATATAGAAGTATTTGTTTCGAAAGAATTTTTTCTTTATCATAATTCAATGTTTATATGAAAGTTGCTGTTTCAGGAGGACTTTCTTTCAGTTTGTGTCTAAAAGTTACTTCTTTGCATGATCTACACATCCTTCTTTTTTTGTGTCAAGATGGAGTAGTAGAAAGCCAAAAACTTTCTTTTCTATAACTTATTTTTAAAAATTGTACCAATCAACACCAAACCATCAGTCAAAAATTCATACAACACATAATAATAATTTACTGGAATTGTGCTAATGATTGCAATATATTGTAGCGACAACTTAAACAAATTATATGAGTAATTACTATGCAATGATCACTGAATGAAAACCTATCTATCACTTTTTGAAACAGGATGTTTTAATTATCACTAAACATTGTTTGAGAAAGTATAACATATTTTTGGAGGAAAATAATACAGGAAGTATCAATTCAACTTAATTTCACAGTAAACTAAAATATGTTTCTGATAACTGAGGAGCATCCACGCAAACGTAAACAAATCCATTTTCACCACAAAATGAGATAAATATTGCATCATGTAGACCTCGATCATCTCTATGAAATTCCATGCCCAAATTCAACCAAAAGTACATAAATCCTTGTATAATGGTGAGGTGAAATCAAGAATGTCAACCAAAGAGCAACAAATCCCTAAACCATTAATTTGCGTCAATTTCAGCAGAATTTCTCTCAAAAAGCAACAAATCCTTGCAAAAAATACGAAGGCGCTGTTATGAACCATGCAAAAGTGAACAAATCCAAAAGTATTTTAGAACTGCCTAATAATTTACATAGTGTGCCACCTTGTGTTTAACAGTGTATATAGCAATAAAGCAGGTTATCTGAACATATTTTAGTGGTGCAAACTGTTTCTCTGTCAAAAAGTGCTGTACGTGAAGCATTCTATTTGAGACAAATTGGATACTACACATTCTGTATTGTCGAAAATAATGGGAGTAATCCCGTTTTCCCTATTTCTCTATACAGTACCACGCACTGTATAAAGAAATAGGGAAAATAAGGGTATTGGGTGTTAATTGGATGTTTTATGACATGAAAGGGCTGAAAGAGATTTATGAAAAAACTTCCAGGCATTAGTGCAATGAAAAAAATTCACCTGAGTTTAATGACTGAAAAGAACAACAGTGTTGTTAAGTGTCGTGGTCTAGTTAAGTACAGATGTGAATCCTCTCTTGAGATATTTCAAAATCTCGGCAAGCGAGGACGTTCTTCGAAAAATTATGAATTGGAACGGCTACCTTCAGTACGCAACATACCACCTGAAAAAGTCGCTAATGTTGAAAGTCTTCTGAAGGCGGAATTTAATGATGACTGGCGGGCAGATCCTGAACTAGCTTGGTGTAAAAGTATGATTGATGACAATATAATTGGAAATGCTACACAGATGATAGAAGAAGATAACGTTGAAGATGTAGAACAGAATGTAGAGGTTGTGACTGTTTATGTGAAGAAGATCCTGCGCTTCACTTTTAATGTTCCTAAGTAGAAATACAAGTTTTTGTTTATTTGTAATGTTTCTCTTGAGTGATTTAATAAATATGAAAATCCATATTTTTCGAAAATTGTAGCTACAGCAAAAAATGTCGTTTTATGCAGAATTATTTCAAATGGATTTGTTTACTTTTGCGTAATTGCACCTCAACTACTTTTTGTTCAATTCTCTTTTATAAAATATAACAGGAATTGAATTCAAAAAGTTGAATGTAACATCAACATATCTTGATGAAGTGATTTGTCACAAAAGTTTAGGAATGACAGGTATAGTTAGGAAGTTCAAAAATGGTAAAGGATTTTGAAATTCAAAATACAAATCATTGACCTATTTTTTATTTTGAATGAAAACTTTGAAAGATGACAAACGACGTAAAACCAAATAAAAGTAATTACATTGAGAATGTCTATCTAGTATAAGTGAGTAGTAAAATTTTTTAGGATCAAACTATCCATATTTCTCATTTTAAGATTTTCCTATTGATTCAGTTAAGTGGAAGGTAAAAACTTCAAGAATAATTATTTCTGGTATTGCCAGTCCTTAACAAAATGGAAATTTTACCAAAATAAAACATGTATATTCTAGTAATAAATTATTTGAATCCTTGAATAAATATAATTAGACCAAAGTTCACCCCTGGGCTTTCCTTTATTATTAACATAAGGTGTATAATGAACTTCTGGGTTTTCGTATGGAAAAATATCATGAATTTCTTGTGCCAATGTTTTAAATCTCTCACAGGATATTCTGAAAATAAAAATAAATAAATCCGTGAAGAAAGTGATATAAAATGTTATGATTATATACTTATGAAGTTAGCAAGAAAACTTTGAAAATAAAAAATTTCGAAACATTATGTAATTTGTTCATATTTTTGTTACCAATTAGTTGTAGTAGAAAACAATTTCCTTTGGTAAATTATTTTTTTACGATGAAATTGTGGCTAAGCTTTTATTTTTGTCATCTTTCAATTCATTCTTAATTATTAAGGATGCAATCTCGTTTCTTAAAAATACATGTCCTGGTTTATAAGTAGCCATTATCAATTTATCATACTCAGTGGTATCCAAAAGCCTTTTCCCAGTCTATTTCAAAAGGTACATAAATCTATTCTCCTGAAAAATATGCATGGAATATACCTGCATGAAACTGAAAATTGAGGAAAAACCATTACCAAATTGGGAGTTATCCCTGATGGAGCAATAGAATATATGGTAACGCCACAGTAGCTTTTTCGCTGTAAGGTCTCACGTGTAGAGGTTCCTCGATAACCTCAGGATTGTATTCTTCCAAAGTGGTAGTAGTAGCGTCACTAACCTGAAAAATGAATACTCTCTGTTATTTATGAGAATCTCCCTAGTGTCCAATCTGCCTATGAGTTCCTGTCACTAAAATTCTTCTACTATTATTTGAATATTTATGCCAATAATGACTAAGTTGGGTCTTCAAAACTCAGATAAATTACATCTATCCATGACGATTTAGAACAACAAAAACAATATATTAAACACATCAAAAAATATTTTTGAGATATTTATTTAGTGTTTCATTTATATAGTAGAAATGCCTTCTTATTCTCAACTAAATTTAACAATACATTGAGGTTGCAAATGACGAATGGGTATCTATGTTCAAATACAAGGTATCAATGTTGAAACGAAACTTACTTACATTACCTCTGATGTTACTTCCTGAAGGTTGTTCAGAAAGCGGAATTGTATGTTTTGTCATCATTATATCCGGTTCGGAGACATTTATCTTGAAAAACACAGTAGATTTATCAATAGTGATTCAAATCACTGTTGATGAAGCAAATCACAAACTTTATTTGAGAAATATATCATGACATGTTTCGCTAACACAGTAGCTTTATCAGTAGTTATTCAAATCACTGTTGATGAGCTACTGTGTTAGCGAAACAGTGATTCAAATCACTGTTGATAAAGCTACTGTGTTAGCGTGATATATTTTTCGAATAAAGTTTTTGGAGATCAAATCGTGAGTTGTAGTTTATGAAATTACTATGGATCTTCATCGAGTAACAGCCGAATCAATCAGAAAAAAACAACATCAATATGTCGACGCAAGATCTGCCAAAAATATCGCCGCTCTCTTTGAGAATCCAAGACAGTCGATTTCGCGTCACTCATATGAACTCGGCCTCTTACAACTTACCGAATTTTTCGTACAAAATTTAACTGACCAATGAACTGAAGGTAGGCGATAGACAACAACGTGTGTTCGCTAAATGGGTCCGGATCGGTTGACAACTGATCCTAATTTTCATAGAAAAATAATGTTCAGCGATGAGGCTCATTTCTCTATGAATGAGTACGTGAATAAACGGAATTGTTGAATTTGGGACGATACCAATCCACATGAGACCCAAGAGCGTCTAATGCACCCCGAATGAATCACTGTTTGGTGTGGCTTTTGGGCTGGCGGCGTTATCGATCCATATCTTTTGACAACGACGTTGGTCAGATCATCACTGTCAACGGTGAGTACTATAGGTCGATGATCATCAACTTCTTTTGGATTATCTGGATACCAACGATATGTGGTTTCAACACGACGGCGCTACGTGCCTCGCAACTCAGGCCACATCAGATATTCTGCACGAGTTATTTGGGAGCATTGTCATCTCTTGTGGAGGTGATGTGAACTGGCCACCGAGATCTTACGATTTGACCCAGTTAGAATTTTTCTTGTGGTGCTTTCCTGAGTCGCAGTTGTATGCGAATAAGACACAAATCACAGCGTTCCTCAAAGCCAACATTTTCCATGCCATCGGTCAAACTCAGCCTGATTTATGCGCCAGAGTCATGGAAAATTGGACGTTTCGGATGCGCTTCCACTCCATTTGAACAATGTTATATTTCACACCTTATGGCATAAATAAGTCTTTCAAATGAATACAAAATTTCGATATCTCGCACACATTTTGTTTTATTCAAGGAAGCGCCCGATAAAAAACCATATACATATTTGAAGTATATGTTTTTGTATTTTGTAATTTGAACTGTTCCACAGCTAATAAGCAAATTCACTCTATTATTTCAAGACAGCGAAATGACTTACCCAGTTTTAGTTCTATTTTTGCCACTAATGAAATAAAGTATCAATATTATTATTATATTGGTTTTTATAGATTTTAAGTGATGAATGAATGTGTCTATTCATCTAATATGTTCATATTTACTTTGTGACTGAAACTATTGAAATCATGAATAGAGTTCCTGAAATTACCACTGGCGTCTTGCAAGTTGCCAATTTGATGCGTAAATGCAAACATCCCGGTATTCAGTGTTCGAGAGTCAGGACGCTCGCTGACGTGGTTCCTGTTTTAGCACAAATCCGACGCAGACGGTGCAGACGCTCCAGTAGTTCGCGCTTACTTGGTGCGGTGCAGGTGCGGATCTCATGGCAACCCAGACCAAGCACACTGGCAGCCTCGAATTATGAAATTTCTCAAAGGTCAGTGTCAGAACGAGCTTTCTGGTATGTTCCAGTGTGTTGCTTTTTCTACAACCCTTTTCGCACCTCGTGCGACTCTGGAAGTAGGTCGGAATTTTGCGAAGGTCATTCGAATTAACAGAATGCGGCCTAGCTGCCAAAAATGTTTTGTTGTAACAAACCGACACAGTTCGAACTTTCTATTGACGTAGTTTCTAAGTTTGGATGTTTTTAGAGCTGACTCCCAAACCTATTTCGACAATGAACTGCAACTATTTCAACTAGTAATACGATAAAATTCTTCAATTCAATGAAAAAAAATAGTTTACTGAAGAATCACTTTCTGAAGTACAGTAAGTAGTTCGAGAAACATACAACTTCAAAAAAATATTCTCTTCAAAAGTGCTGCATCTAAGAAGTAGAATACTGAATTATTTGAAATACATTTAAAATTGTTTTTGTCCAAAAATTCATGAATATGCTAGAGTAAGAGTATTGATTCAATTCAATCATCTTGAAATATTGAAGTTGCAGAAAAGTAGGGTACAAGATTTTTGGGAAAGAAAAAGACAAAGAAGTAGAAAGTGATAACATTTATTTCGCAAAAACTGCAAAAATTTCAATTATTTCACCGAGTGTCTTTTCATTTTCTTATTTCTGTAATTATTTCACGTACTGCGTACTGTACTAGAATGCTTATCACTCATTTCAGTCATTATTATAGTCCCCAATCTATGTGTGATTTATGACTTGTTCATTTTGTGGAAATTCAAAATCACTTCAATAAAGTGAATAGAAAATCTTTTGTCTGATTTCCACTAGTTATTTTATTTTCACGACCCGTTTTGGGTTCTATCCCATTATCAACTATAAAACTAACATGTGATATCTGAAAACTCGGTTATATCGGGAGTTTTTAGGTAAGATGTAAGGGCAGGTAGTTTAACGAACCAGGGTGCCAACTATAAAATTCAACACTGAAGGTTATAAAGGTTATTAAACTTATAAATTCAAGAGTGGAGACCTACATAAATCAAGTTACCCGTTAAGGGGTAACCCGTAATATAGGGGAATATAATAAGACATTTCATATACAAAACGCAGGAATCCTTATGGGCTCACCATCAAGTTCCATTTTGGCGGACATTTTCATAGTTATACTAAAAATTCCCGTATCCTTAATAATCCCCTCTTCAGAAACATATTGTATTTTGATTCAGATACGTTGATGACGTAATGGTTGGTTTTGATTGTTTGAACAATTTCATATACAAAACTCAGGTATCCCTATGGGCTCACTATTAAGTCCCATTTTGGCAGACATTTTCATAGTTACACTAAAAATTCCCGTATCCTTAATAATCCTCTCTTCAGAAACATATTGTATTTTGATTCAGATACGTTGATGACGTAATGGTTGGTTTTGATTGTTTGAACAGATAAATTAATCAATTTTATACTTTCTTAATAGTCTGTATGAGAAAATTAAATTCACAGTAGAAATCGAACAAAATAAAGAGCTAAACTACTTAGATTTCGATATTTCAAAGATAGATAGAACGTACAACTTCCTTCCGGCAGTACGTGGCGTCCTCAATATCCTACCACCTTCAACTAGGTTTACGAAGCTCATTCGTCCTCCTGGCAGGCCGGCAAGTACTACCATTCGATTTCTCATGAAATTTTAAGCTAGGCAGAAACAAAGTCAGAAAATGTTAATTTTCATTCGTTTTTTTTTTAATTTGTCCTTTTCTTAGTATTCCTGGGTATCTAAACTCAATTTTGAGCGTAAAAATCATGTTTTTGGGTAATTTTGAGCTTCGCCTTCATTTAAAAGCTGATGGGGTAGAAAAACCATGAAAAATAGTGGAGGTAGGCTTTTGAATGGTACCTTTACGATCAGTACAAGATAAGATGTCTGCAAGTGAACGCTACGTCTTTGTGTACGCCGCAGCCACTGCAAATTATCAAGATGTTGATTTTCTAGCGGTATCTTGGAGGGACCGTAAAGTTTATTCCTTTATTACTACAAGTAGCACTACCCTTCGGGGCACACCATGTGCCAAAAAAAAGTATGACGATGATGGGAAAGTTTTTTATGAGACTGTGGAAAGACCTAAAATAGTTGAAGATTATTTTCATCGATACTCACAACCATATTCGGCAAAGTGAACTTATACAAGAAGAGGTTTGGCGAACCCAGAACTGGGTCCATAGAATGTTTGAGTCAATTTTTGGAATAGTTCAAACCAACGCTTTTTTGACTTTCAACTATTTTAAAAGTCGGGACCGCCCAGTGGACCATCGGCACTTCCCTGAAGCGTTGGCCAACCAATTAATTAAATGGGCCAACATTACACTACCATCAAATATTATTAGCCCGACTCTTAGAAGGGAAGCCAATGCAGAGAACACTCATGTGCTGATTGCACTGTCCTGAGACAGTGACAGGCTCCGCGTGCAACGGAACTGTCTTATATGCTCTCGGATGAGAAGAATTCAAACAAAAGTCAGTTTTTATTGCAAAAAATGTGGCCAAACACTGTAATGTGTAGTCCCCAAACAGACAGGGGCTGTTTCGAGTTTCACATCAAAAACGGCATTCCCGTGCGGTAGAAATTTACGTAATAATTTTTTTAAATAAAAATATTTATTAACTTTTATATGCGAAAGTGTTTTTTTGTATTCCAAATGTGATGGTTGATTGTGGAAAAATTGTTTTTTCGTTTGTAACACTATTATAAAATCAAAATATATTGCTGTTGAAATTGTGAGACTGATTATTTTAAATAAATTGTAAAATGTTTTTTTTGTTGTTATTTCTTTATGCATTCCTGAAATCACAATAATGATCAAGTCCTACCTAGTACTCAGCGTACTGGCAGAAGGACAATTACATTGAAAAGTCGAGTCCTGCTGGTAGGACATGAAAAATTTCAACACCAATGCTCGAAAGTACTTCCGGCAAGACCTTCCAGCAGGACACGGGCTTGTATGTCCTATCATTTGGAGTCATTAATGGTTTTCAATTCAATATCTACCGGAAAAACACATTCACAGACTGTACAATTCCCTTTGACGTTCGTTTGAAGGTGGTTGACAATGTTTCGTGGTGTATTTCATCAGTTTGTGCTTCCATTGTCTAATATAATATAAATTGATTTGAAGTCGCCGAAAAAAAATAAAAAGATTAACCGAAAATAACAATTTTATTAAACAAAAAACTGAAATTACAAAGGAATAACAAACAAGCAACAACCAAATTTTTTTTAGGGATTTCAAATCAATTTATATTATATTAGACAATGGAAGTCCGAACTGTTGAAATTTCCATTGACTTTTTCGCATTTAGGTCAATGGCGCACAGAGCTTTCGCAATCCCTTTTCCCGAAAAGAATTTCCAGGATGAACTGGAAATAATTAAACAAATTGCAGTAAACAATCAGGTACAAGTTTTTCCAATGGAAAAGATAATATCAGATGAGCAGAGAATACAATGTTAATCTAGTAGCATCAATTACTCAAGTAAACTTTCAGAAAATATTCAAAATTATTTCTATGAATACAAAATAACAACAGATTTCATAAATAATAATGATTTATGCAGAACTCTGTTCAATGCAAAACCCAAACGAGATGCAATGAAAAAATCAGGTATAGATATAATGAAGTGTGGCGAATGTTCTCCAATATATTCAGGCCAAACCGGTAAAAATTTTGACGTAAGACTTCGTGAACACCGCTGTTTGAACAAAAAAACTACAATGTATGAACATCTACAAGAATCAGGATACAATATCCTACACATCCCTACTAATATTATAGATGCGAATGTAAGTGTCTTTGTTACAGTTTCACGTGAAAAATACTCAACCGATAATCATGAAATTTTGTACACATGTCCTTGGAGGTATTAGAAGTAACATAGGATACTTTCTATCAGAGAAAAAATGATTTATTATGTAAGATAACAAAATTGTTTGTCAAAGAAAATCTCAAAATCTAGCTACTTTAACATCATCTAGCATTCCAGTAATGAATTTCCAACCCTTTGTACCGTAATACCGTCTCACTGTATTATTCACAGTCATGACATCCCTACTAATATTATAAATGCGAATGTAAGTTTCTTTGTTACGGTTTCACGCGAAAACAACTAGACCAATCATCATGAAATGTTGTACACATGTTCTTGGAGGTATTAGAAGTAGTAATACTTTTTATTAAAAAAAACAATTATTTTTATGTAACATAAAAAAATTGTTCGTCAAAAAATCTCGAAATCTAGCTACTTTAACGTCATCTAGCATTCCAGTAATGAAGTTCCAACCCTCAGTACCGTAATACCGTCGCACTATTTTATTCACAGTCACGACAATATCCAATCCAATCCAATTGACTATAGTTTCAGCTGTTCGGAATTTTTCTATATTTATTGTTTTTTTCTTCTGTCACCCGCGAGCGAAACTGCGGGTAAAAGCTGGTATGTAATAAAGGAAAGATAACGAATTCATTGGAAGCCATGGATATTGACAAATCAATTAAAAATCGGAAATATATCCCCTAAAAAATAAATCAATTTATGTAGGTCTCCACTCTTGAATTTGTAAGTTTAACTACCTCTATAATCTTCAGTGTTGAAATTTACAGTTCACACACTTGTTTCTTCAACTAGCTCTGCTTCTAGTTTACCTAAAAACTACTTATTTAACGGGATTTTCAAATTTCACATGTTAGTTTCATACTTGATAATGGGGTAAAACCCGAAACCGGTCGTTGAAACAAAATAAGTAGTAGAAATTAAAAAGAAGTGTTTTTATTCATTTCATCCTCTTAACTTTCGAACGGGGAAATGATTGC